AGGCCTACGAGTATATCAATAATAATCTTATTGTTACAGGAATTGGTGTTGGCTCTGATGATATACTGTAGTGTTATAGCACATCACCTTTATTTAGACAGTGCATTTTTTAGACATTTAGATTTAGGCCTAGGCCTAGACAGTTTTTAATTGGACCAGGCCTATAGTATACTATTAGCAGGCCTAGGTCTATTATTATGAAAAAAAACAAATTAAACAATTAATGTGACAAAGATGGCATGGCATGACAAGTCTAGGCTAGGCTAGTAGTTGAAACCTACTATCTTTACCGTCAGCTGGGACCTGCTGCGGGACTGGAGCAGTGTCCCGGACAGGAGTGCGCTACTGCTGCTGGGTAGACACTGACTGTGCTAATCCTAGCTAGGCATATGTGTAGGCCGAATTATAAACAAACAAGTCAAGTCATCGGACTGATATACGTTTATTAATTCAATTGAATTATTCCTCCATGATTGAATTGACGTTGACTAAACCGCCTCTCTGTAACTGCGTACGTAAACGATCACAAAAACTCACGACTTCACACTAGCGTACTGTATCTAGGCTAGTCGCTCGATCGTCGGGACGATTTTTCTATCAAGCTGCTCGCCAAAAATTGACAGACTTGTCTTGAATATTAATGAGTTGGTTAGAAAATGCTACCAAGCTACTGAAAAAAGTGATCAGCCTCGTTTTCACCTGATTTTCCTGTCTCATCAGATCATGTTTTGTTTCTGTAATTTATCGTTACATCTCAACATTTTGAATTTTATAAGTATTTTTCCCGAACTCAGGAAAGGTTTAATAAGCAATATATGGCCACTTGTCTCATCCCTGCACCCCCCCTTTAACTTTGTCTGGTATCCCTTGGCTTTTGATCAATTAGCATTTTTACATGCTTCTAGTAAATGTAAACGTATTCAAACCGTAGGTCCAGAGTGCTCATCCGTCTTGGTCTTTCTTAAGCGTTGGGCACAGACTGTGCAATGCTTTAAAGGAATCGCAACTCCTCCACATAGTGAGTCTCTTTAACTTCCCAGCATATGCTAGTACCCATTTATACTCCTGGGTACAGACGCAGATAAATTGTCTTGCCGAAGGACATGATTGACTTGCACGGCAAGAGTTCCGAACCCCATTAAGAGGTTAAGAGTTCAAGTCTTAAGCACTACGCCAAATGCTTCTGTGACCGGTCGACGACTTGATACGTGAGAGGCGTTATAAAACAAACAATTACCCAGATCAACCTGACCGCATGGGCTGGCGCGTGCTTGACTTTGACACGAATAAATAATTAGACAAACAATGTAGTAGGTTTCGACAAGAATATAACTGGCACAATATTGTTAAATATCGGTTAGTTGTTGTCGACTTTTAATGAGTAGTATGACACAGTTCCTTTTAGTACACTGCAAACTTTTATTCACACAAACTGTACGTTGGTTACAATCAGCTAAACTCCAGGTTTCAGATGTTAGAGAACCCTTTTAGAGTGGAGTCAGCTCGGCCCTGTACTTTTCTTCTGTGTTGAATCTAACTACTGACTACTGACTACTGATTACTACTGACTCAGTGATATGGGGTGTTTGCCTATTATACTTTAGGTAATGGGTGTGTCTCAAGTAAGTCACCCCATAATTTTAGAGTTTCTGATTGGATCATAGAGAAATTATTTCTCTATGATTTAGTAACTTGTTTACCAAAAAACTGCTAATTAAGATGTATCACAAACTTCAGAGCTTAGGCTCAAAACTGACAATCATAGATTCATAGTGTGAGAAAGGCCAAGTCCAACTGACTAGGGGTAAAGTTATACAAAGTCCAGTTATATTATTAGATTATCTGTATACTCAAGTTGACCATTAAAACTGTCAAACCAATTTAAGGCATTTATCAGGTGAAGGGTATCGATTCCAATGGTTATATGCAAGTTAATACCACTGAACCTTAATACTACATTACAATATATTCATTCAACACAAGAATACATATTGAAGATCAAACAACAATATAAAATATAAGTCAATTAAAATTGTAACTTATGATTTGTTGAACATCTAAGGTAGCGACACGACTTGTCTCCTGGCTTCACTTGGTGTAACTGGACACTTTTAAATTCGCAATCTACAGCACATCAAACACACGACCAGATCAAGTATGCACGCGGACACTTCCGTTGTTCTCATCTATTGGTTCGGTAGCTGGACGGTACCTTGTTTGATAACCCGATCACAGTACGACACCCCTAACAGATCACTACTTCGCTCAAACTGTAATAATGAGCAGAGTGTCGAGGATGACAACACAGCAAAGATATAGGCTGATGTTATAGCTTGCTTGCCAAAATATGTTGTGTCTAACCCCATTTATATAATTAAGTCAAAAAGGCTAGCATAATAGATAATACAATTTTATACTATACAGGGCTATAATCATAATTTCAGTAGCATTAAACATGAATTACATTATTAAAAATACCTCATAGGATTATACAATATCACAATAAAAATAACATAAGTTTGAATAACGTGAATCAATTGTTCAATCTTTAGCATAAAATCTGGAATGCCTTGCTTCGAATATTAAAAGGTACATTAAGGCTAAGGCCCATAAAAGACTGTACAGGGACATCACTCTAATACTAATTCATTATCTGCATTATCGACTAACAGTGGTTGGCAGTAATATATAGTGCATTTGAACATAGTAAACAAGATATCCTAAACTTTTACTCCTCATGGAATGCATTTCCATCTAATAGGAATGTATAACCCCATTCTATAGGAATTTCTGACCCAGATTCTGCCCTATCTTTCTACTTGAGTGAAGGACAAGGTGCCCTATCTTTCTACTCAGTGAAGGACAAGGTGGTTTTATTCTTGGCCCATAGTAACAAGGACATAGTGGTTTGAATAATGACCCATGGTATATACCCTTGTTACACTTCCATTAACTTTTTTACATCGTATCATTCCTTTTAGCCGTTTTGTTCTCGATTTGAACAGCATGATCACGAATTTCTACCAGCCTGTCTTGGACCTCGCCCAGGAAAGGGCGCTTGTCTATTTCTCCCGCCCAACATGCTGACATCAAGCTCCAGGATTTATCACCAAACACAGCGAGTTTCTCCGGACGAACTCCTGTAAAAAACATTGGATAGAAATAACACTGATTCATGTAACTTTCCACCATACATTATTTAACGATAAATGAAAAAAATAAATAAAAAAACATGTAAAACCATATACCAATATCCAACATGCGATACTGTATACAATAGAATCCCGCAACCACTCTATACAGTATTTTGCAAGCTTCAGAGGGGAAATTTTTGAGTGTATTAACTGATCCTGAACTTAATTGATTCCTAGGCCTAGGGCTTAGGCTAGGCCAGTTTTATGCTGGCCTTTCAAACAACACAAGAGTGACTAGTTGTATATAGTATAAAAAAAATCATGTGAAACACTAATATTTCATAATTATTATTATTATTCATAATAATTCTGTGAAAGATTGGATGTTATATTTAACAAGGCTACACACATTGAATAAAACATTCAATCTTTCACTGAATGAAAAACTCTATTCTATTGCACTTTCTATTAAACATTCATTATCAGAGCTCACATTAGGGAGGTTTCGATTTGCACGAAGATGTTACGCTACAACACATTCACTCAAGCATGACCTTCCTATGTTCTCTCTACAATATAGATTCAGCTAAATTGCATCCTAGAATCCACACGAATAGAACTTAATATTCTTGAATGTGCAGATGCAATGTTATTACTTTCTACGTCCTACTGCATCATCCAATTGAAAGCTCTCTATTAAATTCATCATACAAATATGGCCAAATATAGTACTAACCTCTCTTCACCAAACTCAGGTGGTCTTTGTTTTGACACTGCTCAAAGGCAGTAGGCAGCTTGACGTGTCCAGCACACACGTACCAAAGTAGGATGCCAAATGCGTATACGTCAACGCTGTTGTCATACTTTCCCGAAAAAAGCTCAGGTGCCATGTGGATGGGAGTACCCACGAAGCTCCCGCTTATCATGGCTTCCAGCTTGCAAAATCCAAGGACAGTTATCTTTCCACGATTATGCCTATCAAGCTAAAAATGAGACACAAAAGACATTTACATGAGCTATTGATAGATACAAATATATCTGAAGCGGATAATCACTAACAGTATTTTGGAAGATGTGAGAATTGATAATATTGGTTTTTTTCCCCCTGATCAAGATGGTCAGTTATTCATCAATCATAACTTACATTATGAATTACCTTACACAGAACATACATATTTATTTTATATTTATTCACACTTACTACATATCACTTTTTCCTACATATTTATTTTATATTTATTCACACTTACTACATATCACTTTTTTCCTAATGAAAATTCATTAAGAATATTTCACACACAAACATTGCATTTTCAATTTGAATTTCTTTTAAATAATACATATTTTAAATTTTTTATAATCATTTATCAATGTTGGTTAAAATGATTCCTTTAACTTAAGATTAAGCTTTAAACAGACTTTACAATAATTGGCCAATGTTCAAAGTTTATGCCATCCTGATGATAATGTTTGTTTATTTACAGCTATATAGGAATGACTAATATTATGAGATCAAAATACAGGAATCTATTTTAAACTTTAAAAATAAAAATATATTTTTTGTCACATACAACACACTCAACTTACCAAAACATTCTTCAGTTTGACATCTTTATGTACTAAGCCTAGGCTGTGTAGGTAACGTAAGCCTTCTACGACATCACAAGCCACCTGAAGCCGGCTTGGGAAGTCTAGGTTCCCTTTAATGGCAGCGTGTAAATCGCGTTGCATTCGGTCCATTAGAAGGAGCACTGCAGGGGAATATCCACCACCGTAATTATGATCGATAACTGAACCACGCAAGGCCACTACACGGTCATGCTCAGGAATTGATCTGTACACAGAATAATATAGAGAAATATATAAATAATAACAGATACATTTAAAAATGATAATTATAAAGTACAATAAAAAAAAAACTACAATAAACCATCAATGTATATCCAAACAGGTTGCATGTTGCTCCCAAGTCAATTCAAGCAGCCTCTAATAATCCCCGGGCTGGACGATAGGGTCATTAACACATACCCAAGGAGGGCTGATTGATGGGGGCTGAACGGCCTGAAAACCCACAAGACAGTTCCTGGACATTTACTAATCCTAACATCACATCATGACAATATTCTCAAACATCTTTATTAAAGTCCTCTCACATTACAAAGTAGTAGGGCTTGTTAATAAAAAAAAAAAAAACCTCTTAACACTTCTAGGTTTATGGATATACAATCCTCCAATGCCTGATTAGGAGTAATCAAAAGGTTCATTGTATACAATTATTAAATGTAGAAACATCACCCGCCTACCCTTTCCCCACCCCCTGCATCACAGCATGGCCCAAATGCCAACGAAAGAAAATGGACACACTGAGCATGTGAGCTCAAATCTCCGGGTTTGACAGCATGTTAAGTACATATATTTATTCCACAATCACCTGAAAAAGCCTAGCTGTTATAAAAAGGTTGAGGAATAAATAGGTAATTCATCTGTTTACCGTACCTATGATGTTGCTGTATTTATTAATTGTATTACTGTATTGACTAATATGGCTACTTGTTCAACTGTTCATTGTACCTTGTATAATGGAACTGTAAAGCTAGATCATTCCAGTGTTTGTCATCTGGAGGTACAACGGACTTGACAGCACATGGTGTGTAGCCACCCCAAGATTCACAAGAATACACAACCCCGTACTGACCACGTCCAATCTCACGCCCAAGCTGAGGCACACCTGTACAGATAAGTGATATAATGTGTTCAGTAACATTTATTTATTCAAATCAATATTCATGTGAAAGTAAACAATTAATAGCTATAAATTACGATTTAGGAATCAGATTAGAAGTTAAAAACTTGTCTCAAAATGATCCCTTAACAAAAGAGAATTTAATAGATATAAAAAATTTTAAAAAAATAAATAAATAAAATAAATAAATAAATAAATAAATAAATAAATAATACATCAATATAATAATGTCAGTATTATATAGAACACCACACACAATGGTAATGTTTTAAAATGTTTTTTTTTTCATTTAAAATAGTCATTTTAAATGTTTATGTCTGACTAAGAATAAACATTCTTAAATGTACTCTAATCTCTCAAATTTGCAAAATAGTTTTTGATGTATTTTTCTAAATTCAAATGGTGATGTTGATTTACTTCTTTTAATTAGTTCTCCCTTTTGTAGTATTTGTTTATGTTTATATTCTATGATTGAGCATAAAATAAAAACAAACAAAAGGTTTCTGTGAAATTCAGTAGCACTTTTATTAACTCAATTTCATCTCCACCATGACATCCATCCATCCATCAGTGATAAAAATTAACAGTGCTATCACCAACCACCGCCATTATTGTCGTCATCATCATTAGTACACGTCTATATCATCCTTATAATTAAAGTTATAACATACTTTAATCATAATAATCATTATCGTAATCAAGATAATAGTCACCAATGCTGCCAGTGCTATTCCCTATATTGTCAATAATATATTGTTACTTCTCAAGAAAATTGATTTGAATTACCAAATAGGACAGTGTCACGTAAGGACGTGCAATCCAGGGCAAGTCGGGCCAGTTTAGGGGCATGAACCTTCCGGACTTTCATTCGCTGTTCCTTCTTTTTCTCCAGTCGGCCAAAATGCCTCAATTCCAGTTGCTTCAAAGATGCAGAAAATGCATCATGGGAGTGTTGTAAACGATTTCTAAACTGGATTCAAAAGAAGAAAAAAAAAAAAAAGTAAATCACAGTGTTGTTTGTAGACAGCTGTAACAATTCTACATTGCAATATCTAATTGTTAGAAAATGTATTCTGATCCTTAAACGAATGTATTGAAAATGAGTTATGTTGGTTTCTTTTGATTTATCCTACACAATAGATCTAAATATGCAAATCCAACGCTTTTTTAAATTTGTTAATTTTGTATGTCAGTGTAAATTTGATCTTAAATAACGCTACCTAGTAATTTTTAAGAAATTGGCATGGTCTCCCTCAAGCAAAGCAAAAATCTTTTAGAAACTAACAATATTGAGAGTGTTTCAAACCTACCTGTGAGGTCATACTTTTGGCAAGTTTTGATTCACTAAGACTACTGATCATCTCCAAGACAACCTTTTTTTGCCATTCTGCATCAACTTTAGGAGGGTATTTCCATGGCATGGTTTTTAAACCAAGCTAAAAGATTATAAAAAATACAATTGATTATTATTTAAAGGTTTGCAGCTTTACTTATTATTTATGTTAAATGTTGTATAATACTTGTTCCTTAATAAAGTCTTTATCACTACTAATACTATATAATAATCAAAACAATAATAAAGAATAACAACAAACATAACAATAGTATTCAAGAAAAACAAGAAAAACAACATAAATACAATAATCGGTGACAGAAAATAGTGAAGCCCAATATCAGTCATACATAAAATTTGACCTGACCCATTTCATTTGTTCCCATATTACTCTGATGAAGGATGAACTTGTCTGAGCACTCACTTCCACCTGGTATGATGCATTCAAAATCTGAAACAAAATTTAAAGAAAGACTTAAAATTTGAGGCTTTCTAAATTATTTATTTTTATTCACTTCATAATCAAACACTTGACATAAAGTATTTTCAAAATAACCTTTTGATACTACTTGAATTTGGAATACAAATATTTAGATGTGTACTTTGGTACTTATTGGTTGGTATTGATCATTGTGACCAATATTTGTTGGATGTTCATGGACAAACAAAAGATATTTCAGTCAACAAAAATAACAAAAAACATGAAATACGATCTCAAGCTAGGCGATAATAATCCCTGAGTTGTTAGTCATATCATTATCTGATGTTTGAACATAGAATAAACATAGCCTTATCACCAATTTACTAAGAATTGTTAAGATTAAATAGGTTTTGCATTTGATGTTTTTTGGAGCGAAATGGACAACAGAAAGTCTGATGACTTATTTCAAGTGGAGTCCTTATGTTGAATCGTGCAGTACCCTGGGAGACAATTAGGCCAAATAAAATTAATTGTTGGTTTCATGTCTGGGATTTGAAATTATTTTTTGGTGAGGGTATTTACTATTGCTTTTTATTATCCTATATACTAATGGTAAACAGGCTGGTAAATAGCAAAAGTAGTTTTTTGTTTGTTTGTTTGTTTGTTTGTTTGTTTTTTTTATAAAAAATTAAAATGAATCTTAGTAATGTATTTCTGCCATTTATGTTCCCAATTCTTCTAATGCTTGACATCATTCTTTCAGATATTCATTTTTATTGTCCATTGAAACATTTAGCAATTCATTCTATTTGGCCTTAACATTCTTAAACATGTGCATGGCCCATACAGTAAATGCAAATAAGAAAAAAGGCTTAAATGTCCCTGTCACAACAATCAAATTTTATTTGACAAAAACATGCCTAAATATTACCATGATGGCATCACATCATGACCATATATAGGCACATCATGACTAAATATGGTCATATAACAGTTTTTTGTCCAAGAAAATTTGATGTGGACAGAGCATTATATTTGCATTCTAGCCCTCGAGCTGAAACACAATGAGGGCAGCAAACAAATTAAATCTGAGAACAAGGTTTATGTAATCAATGTCCACAGTTC